GGTTGAGTTACGCGTATTAAATCGTAGATATTCTAAGGCTAGTAAATGACGAATTTCCCATGTTTATTGAAGTCATACTCCTTCCCTATTATCTACTTCTGATATTATTTATTTACTAGGAATATAGCCATTAAAAACCATGATTTTACTATATACTCATTCTTAAAACACAGCAATGTCATGCTGAAAGAGGGGCAAAGAAGCTTTGGCATAATGGTCACATTTGCTCCTATACACCTCATAACACATTACCTAACCTAACTAAGCTCCAGGATTCTAAATCCACACTAACCTTAAGATTTATTAATTTAACTAACTAGGACTGTAAATTCACTAACCAAGACTCTACTAACCTTATTACTACCTAACCAAGACTCTACTAACCTTATTATTACCTAACCAAGACTCTACTAACCTTATTATTACCTAACCAAGACTCTACTAACCTTATTATTACCTAACCAAGACTCTACTAACCTTATTATTACCTAACTATAAGACTCTATATTCACTAACCAACTCTAATAACCTTATTATTACCTAAGTAAGACCATATATGCACTAACCAGGACTCTACTAACCTTATTATTACCTAAGTAAGACTCTATATTCACTAACCAAGACTTTACTAACCTTATTATTACCTAACTAAGACTCTATATACACTAACAGACTCTACTAACCTGATTATTACCTAACTAAGACTCTATATATAGTGAGCATATGACCGTGGACGGTGGTGGCACGAGCTGACACACGGACAGCGCACCGTCCGTCGAGCAGCAAGCGAGTCGCGACTTGTCATCGTTGGCAAACCTCACTGCCGTGACGGCGTCCGTGTGCTGGTCGAAGATGTGGTAGACTCCGGCGAACGCGTAGTTCTCCTCTATCGTGCCTCCACCTGCCATCGCTCTGCAACAACCACGGTGTAGGCAGCGAGATCACGATGGCTATCACTACATAAGCTTACCATAAAGTTCGGGTATAACATCAAGAGTGAATTAAAACAAACGTTTTTTTTTATTTATAATTGATGATATATTGATAATAATTGCATAAGTTTACTATAAGGTAAATATATAAAATATATAAGGCAACATATATTAGCAGATCATTTTATAAGCTTACCATAGAGTTCTGAACTTCATACATAAAATATATAAGGCAGCATATATAAAGTGATCATTACATAAGTTTACTATAAGGTCATATAAAATATATAACTATAACACATCATATATAAGGTGATTACTACATATGGTTACCATAAAGTTCATATATAAAGCATATAAAACAAATAAGAGTATATAATGCATCACATATAAGGTGATCAATATATATGGTTACCACAAAGTTCATATATATGGCATATATAACATAAAGCTATAGAAAGTATCATATATAAGGCTATCGTTATCCTGTCGTTATATATATAACGTTATCATCAAGTTCACATCTAAAATATATACGGTATATAACGTATCATAGTTAGTTTTCAACAAGGTATAATGATCGATTCGAAATATCGAGTCATTACAAATGGCAGACAACTTTCTATGCCCGCATGACCCATGGCCGCGAGTGCTGTGCATGCTGGGATTGATATATTTCTCACCTGCTGGCTTCAGCCTCGCTGGTAGGCGTGACACCCTCATCATGCTTCGTATCTGCTATCAGCTTCTGTGGGCTGCTGCTCCATCGCCTTCTGTTACGCGCCTCCTCACTGTCGCTCTGAAACCGCAGTACGACATATGTCCCACGTAAAGCTACACATTTTACTGGTGCTGCGACATATCAGGAGTGAATAATAATAGATCTATGATTATAGTATATCTGCAGTACGGCGTTTTAGCTTTGAGTTAGAGACATGGGGAATTTGGCACAGAATCATGCAAATGTTCAGGGACGGCCGGCAAGGGACCCAGAAGACATTAGCTGCATACTTTAGAGCACACATAATTCAGCGTGGACAGAATGCATTTCAGAATGGTACGAACGCATTAACTTCAAGAAGAATGCGACGCGGTTTATCAAACGGCCATCATTATGCGGGCAGCGTCGACGGTGATCGGCGTTCCTTTTTACGTTAGTCGCGACTGGTCGTTATATCCACGACCCACGCCATAAATTAGTTGAAGGCTAAACAGGTCGCGACGACGATGCGGACGGTTTAATACGGAGGGGTTTTGGTGACGGCGGGAGAGACAACGACAACCTCAAACCGGTACGTGTACACTGCTTTTATCCGTGTTTGTAATAAAACTGTAATTGTCACCGTTTATACAACTGTTACGTCTACTGTCTACGATCGAGATATATTCCACACTACGTAACATATCTATTATATCTATTATTATAGATAGTCTATTATAATTCACTCCTGAACATATCTTATGCAGTGACAGTTTCGGGGGGTCAGCATATATAATATTATCAGAAGTAGATAATAGGGAAGGAGTGTGACTTCAATAAACATGGGAAATTCGTCATTTACTAGCCTTAGAATACCTAGGATTTACTATGCATAACTCAACCAACTTGAGCTCAAATCGTACACAGTACATTCGCCTAGCATCGTGCAAAATCGTTTCCCCGTATACACCCGCAATCCGGAGATACAGACTAAAACGTATGACACGATTCTGCATTCTGTTGGCCGCAAAACGAATCCATAACCCGCCTAACTTGAAACAATAGGCAGCTACTAACGACTCGTGCGCACTCTTGTGCCCTTGGCGATGAGGTGTGGCTCGCTGGGAGATTGGAGCTAGAGCTGCTGGCTATTCAGTTGGCAGTGCTTGCGTGGTCTTTGGGAGTCATACCAGCTAGTAAAATATCTCAGCTCAAATATAATCCATCACCAAGCTGGTCCTTCTTCGGGGCCCGTCCTCCTCACCATAAAATTTGTTGGGTTCATCTGTTGCTTGATCGGCATATCTAATCAAATCCTGAGCCCAGCACAGAAGCCACACCCATCGCCAGGAGGCACAAATGCGCAAAAGAGTCGTTGAACATCCTACTGCCTGGATTTCTATGGCGTTGAGGGGTTATGGCATTCGTATGTCAGTGCTGACGCAATAAGAAGTGGATGTAAAATCTTTGTGGCGTACGTTATTTCTGTATGCTCGAGCCTTGCGTTGTTTTACACGAGCGAAACGAATTTTCACGACCCACAATTAATCGAATTTATCTGTGTACATTGAATCTCAAGTGTTTGAGTGACGATAGTAAATCGTAGTATTCTATAGGTGCTTGTAAATGTAACAACTTTCCTTGTTTATTGAAGTTCATACTCTGCTTCCTCCTATTATCTACTCTCATATTATTTATTTACTATGGAATTATAGCCATTAAAACCATGATCTTACTATATATCTATCTTACATAACACTTAGCAATTCATGCTGAAAACAGTGCAAAGAAGCTTTGCATTAATCTCACATTTAGCCCCCGTTCATCACACCTCATAACACGATTACCGTTAACCTAACTAAGCTCTGCATCGATGCTAAATCACACTAACCTAAGATTTTATTAATTTAACTAACTAGACTGTAAATCACTTAACCAAGACTCTACTAACGCTTAAGACTATCCTAACTCGATAGACTCTGACTATACTCTTATATACCTAACCAAGATTACTAACCTATTATACCTAACGTATATGTTATTTCTCTATATTCACTAACCAACTCTAATAAACCTTATTATTCACTTAATGAAGGACCATATATGCAACCTTAACAGACTTACTAAAAACCTTAATTCATTTACCTAAGTATAGACTCTATATTCTACGTAACCAAGACCTTAGTTAACCTTTATTGATGTAGCCTTAACTAAACTCTAATTATCACTAACTAACTCTGACTAACCTTTTATTATTACCTAACTAAGACTCTATAACAACTAACAGGACTCATCTTAAACCATATCGTACCTAACTAACCAAGACTTTACTAACCTTATTATTACCTATCTAAGACTCTATATACACTAACCAAGACTTTACTAACCTTATTATTACCTAAGTAAGACTCTATATTCACTAACCAAGACTCTACTAACCTCGAGATTCACTCTACTTCCTCTCAAGCTTGCTGTCCTGCTTTTGATACTACTAAAATAGATAATTAACATTCACATCAACATGATGTGTAGGTTTCTGGGGTTTTAAGCAAGTTAGTTGGACATGATCACACTAGTATAGACAAAAGTCACCTCGACTGGCCCCAGCCACACTGAAATACCCCAGATTTTAAGTAAACAAATTTCCCTAAACACACAAAATTGTCTGTTAGACAGACGACATTGCAATTATCCGCACATATTATCATTAGATAGCCACAGAGTAATATACTACACCGAGATCAGGCCAGCCGGCCTGCCCCTGGCAGGGATTTGTACTGACAACCATTGCAGTAAAGGTGGACGTGCTAATCAATGTACGCTAAGCTCTCCAAGAAGATCCATGGAGCTCTGTCCCTTTGAATATAACAAATATAAGTTATGAGGTAAAAATGTCAAATAGTGCATAAATTATTGACCTACCTTCCATCGGGGTTGCACAGAACTCCGTATCTCTCAGCAAGAAGCCTCGCACGAATCTGCAAGTACTGCTTGCGCAATAGTGGGTCATGCTCTGTCTTAGCATTGTCCCTCAGCAGCTGGCTTCTACGGCGGATATAAAGTGTTCCTGTAGAAAATCAAATGAGAAAATGCTTCGACTAGCATCGATCTGTAACCTATATGCAGCCAGTTAAGGGGCTACACCAGAGTACAACTACAGTACAAGTAGTGAAGTACTATAGACATCTATACTATTGACAATAGTGAATGTAATGTGTAGGTACATAGTCACAGTGTACTGTTACTACACTACCCACTGGTACTACCGAATACTGTAGTCTGTAACATTATTGTCATACAAAAAGTGTAAAACGTATTTTGTTTACTTTTATTTTTTAAGTTTTAGTCTTTTACTACTTTACTTACTAAACTGAGGGCACATTGGGGCTCTGTGCGCATTATATCTAGCATCAACAGCTAATACTTGCTGCCAAACAGCAGTCATCTTAAAAACTATTATATACGCAGAAAATAGATACTATTACTAAGACTAAGAATAAGATAATTCTGTGCACATGCTAACATCCTATGCTGATACTTTTCAGTGATAGCGGAACAATTTTGTTTAGATGGCTACCGTATCATTCACCCGCGCAATGGACGCGCAGAAATAAAGGGACACGGGAACCGTCTATAAATTCTGTAAACATAAAAGGGGCGCATCGAGCGCACGCTGACTGCTCATTTGTTCAAAGCCGAAAATGGTGGTTGTTGCGGAAGTAAGAGTGAGCTTATTCAGCTTTTTGCTGTGCTCCTCTGTTATGTTACTACCGTTGTTACCAAAACTTAATGCAAAAGTATCATTTTTCATTCATGAATATTGGTTATATTTATTATTGTGTTATGGGATTCTTTCACTTGCAATTTTGCGATTAGTTTACAGAGCACCTATTTCTAGTCAGGTGAGTCCGTAGTCATTGTTATTCGGCTCATTGCCTCATAATCATTCATACTACTACTACTCGCCACGTGTCACGTGCCATTTATTCACTGCTATTCCTAATGTTTATGTACTTTCTATTGCCTGGTAATTAGCCAAACAATAGCTTTTTTATAAATTCACAAAACCGAAGACGTGGTAATCAGAAACGCCTGCAGAACCCCACCAGTGGTGGCACCACATGTCATGGTCACACCTGTCAGTGTCACTAGATACAATAATGTAACCCAATCACAGGATAGGATATAGGGATAACCCTATCCTGTGTTTGGGTTACATTATTGTATCTAACCTGTCACCACAGCCACAGCTAATTATTCCATTAGAGAATTGGATTGGAACCACTCCGGATACCAGCACATTCAACACAAAAATCTTATTTATTGGTACTGGTAGTCTTTTAATTCCAGGGTAATCTGCCCGCCCCCCCCCACTCAATGTTATTTAGGGTACGCATATGCTCGTTCCCTCCCTTTGAAAGCACCCCCTATCTCAGGACTGCCAACATTTCTGAACCCCCCTTTCGCGGGCTTTTTGCGGGTTTTTCCTGCCTTGGAGAACCCCCTAAATCCGGAATACTACGTATAGACTGGTACCCGTTCGCCACCTTCACTCCGGTACGTATCCTTCGCTACACTGACGTAGTGACGTTAGTGTAGCGTGTGGAACTGTCGACCGGGTACCAGTCTACACTACGTAGACTAGTGTAGAGTTCAGTGAGCGAGGGGAACTAGGGACCAATATTTTTATTTTTCAAAATGAAATAATCCTGAATGAGCTTTCAAAACTAGCAGGAATTTCAGGAATTTGATCCCGGGATTTGATAAAGTTTTCTATAATATTCAAGATGAAAGAGAGAGAGGAAAAACACCCCCTTTTTAAAGAAATCTCCGGGTGAAAAGTCAAATACAGCCCCTTTTTTACAATTCTTGGGCCGGATTTTGTCGCGCGAAAAATACGTACCCCTTTACCGGAGATTTTGGGAACGCGCATGCGGTCCTTCCAACCTCGGAGTGGGGGGCCGGGGTAATCTGTAGCGGGAAAAATTTACCACCAAAAATCACCCAGTATCAGGTCTGTCTCTTGTTTCAGAATTCCGGTCAGCATCTCTTCCTGTAAGTCTTGCTATATGGCCTCCTGCCATGCTGAGGTGAATGTAGAGTGGACAGTGGAAACATTTTCAGCACTTTAATTGTGTGCACACTCGTCAACACGCTCTCCACACTCGCTCTCACCTCGCGTTGCACTTTCGATTCTATATTACATTTTTATCCCGCACTCACGTCAGATACACAGGCAACTGCACAAAAATTTTGTTGACACACCTCACAGTCCCAGTGTTGATGAGACCAGCATCTACTGGGAGTATATAATTGAACCTAGAGAAATTCCTTGTGAATTCCGTTTTAATTCTCCTCTATGACACACAATCGCACCACATCTATTTCACCTGTGCACAAACTCTCAGAAGGATTCTTTCTGTGAGGTTATGCACAGTGGTGTGCGTATGGTGAGACTGTATGTTTTAGGGAGCACTTACGTGGACTTATTAGGCAATAGAGAGTACACAAACATTTATACTTTTGTAGTAAATACAAGTAGTCTTTATTTACTATAGTTTCATTATTGAAATGACCCAAGTGCCTATGGCATATGGATTAGAGATGTGGAGCTTGTCTGGCCGGCTTTATATATGCTGAATATGGGTAGCCTTGAAGGCCTCTATGATCCTAGTGACCTTGGTGGGTCACACAGACCAGAATCTTTCATTGTAAGCTGAGAACACTCAAGCTTTTATGCAAAATTTTATTAATTTTTTATTTTCATTCTTATTCGATGGCCTAGGTTACACTAGGTGCCACCTCTGTGCATAATTATTTCTCCATATAACGTTTTGATTGTGTGCGTTCGTGTGTAGTGAGTCGTGGTCCTTTAAACACTGATGACATCCTGACACAACCAGCCCTTTCATGGTCATGTTTCTTTATTTGCATAAATTTTCAATCCGAACATGTGAATTAAATTCAGGCAGATTTTAAATTTTTCACCAAATAAGAAAAATCCTGACGTGTAATTTTTGGTGCATACTATTGTGCTTAACTGATGGCGAGAATTTTGCTTTCATACTCTGTGGTAATTGAGAAATATCCAAAATACCATATTTGCATAAAAATTCAAAATTTGTGTTGTCACATAATTAGGTGCTGGAAATTTTTTGGCTTGAGCATAGAAATACATGTCATCTGTACGTGTGAATGATTCGGTTCATCTGTCAATAAACGTTTACTCTTCATTAGAGCAAGGCCACAATTAAAAAAATCTTTGTTTGCCCTCACCCGACCCACACCCCAGGCTGAAAAGTTTAGGTAGGTAGGTAGGCTTTTTTTTTTTTTTGAGGTTTTTTTTTATACAAATTCAGCATGGTGTCTACATGCTTGGGTGTGCTTGTGTGGAGGTACCTTTTATGTTGAATGTTTGTTTTGCTTGGTACATATAATGTATTGCCTACAGATTTATATAATGTACAGTGATACAATTTGTAAAAAAAAAAGAATGGGAAAGATCAATAAAAATTGTTTGAGTCGGCCCATTTTTGGCGGGTCGGTCAGGTGAGGGCAAACAAACAATATTTTTATTATGGCCTAATACCCATGCAAAAGCTTGAGTGTATCCTTAAATGGGCTTCAATTAGCCAGCAAATCATCAGAAGCTAACTAATTACTTTACATTTTCTCCTTCATTATAGCAGTGTCCAGTGACGGTACAAAGTGTAAAGCTGAAAACTATGCATTGTAAACACATCCCCATATATCCGGCATCTCGTCTACAACCTTTCCAGGTTGCACTACGTGCAGGAAGCATTGGTTTTGGATTTGGCCTGGGCTTTCTCCTCAGTTTGTACAGTGCACCGTGGCGGGTGTTTGGCTGGTACATGATGGTCCTGTGCTTTTTTCACTTCTCCGAGTATTTCGTCACGGCGTGGATCAATCCGAGAAGTCTAAGCCTCGACTCGTTTCTCCTGAATCACAGTGTTGAGTATGGAATTGCCGTAGTGGCGGGAATAACGGAATATGTCATCGAGCTTTTTATCATACCAGGTATGATATTCCTACATATTAATATCAGAATGTTTCTACATTTAATGTTTACAAATGATACTAGGATTATAATAGCGGTTAATATACTAGAATTTTAAAAGCTGGCCACAAATGTATGACTTGATATTTATTTATATCTGTAACTGCATTTTGTAATCATATGCACTCATTTATCACTTTGGGAAATTAGTTGAGGTTCAATAACTTGTAGTTCATTATCATTTCATTGTATATAAAACTGAATGAGGATTAAATCAAGAATGAATTAAAAAAAAATTCTTTTTATTAACTTCTAATTAAGTGATTGATGTAACCGGTTGTAAGTTACCAATGCACAAATTACTCAGGACCTCACAGAAACTAACGAAAAACGTCGACGTATTCGCCATGTTACAGGTATAAAACAAGTGAGCATTTTCAGTGTGGTCGGTCTTTTGATAATCATCGCTGGGGAAGGCCTTCGCAAACTGGCGATGTTCACTGCCAGGAGCAACTTCAACCACATTATTCAGACGTACAAGGAGAGAGACCACGTGCTCGTTACCCACGGCATCTACAAGTACATGCGACATCCATCGTACGTCGGCTGGTTCATCTGGACGTTAGGAACGCAGGTATGTATGGTCGGTCTCCTCTGCTGACAGTGTCTGTCACAATGTGTTGCTCTGCAATGGCAAGCTATTTACTTTCAATTCACCAATTGTTATATATACACATCGGATAGTGTATTTATATTAGCCCGTGGTTTAATGGCAATCCATATTTTAGTATTACCCACTTCCGGGGCGCGCGCGTCTGCGCATGCGTAATAAAACAGTTTCTGTTCATGGCTACTTGCGAGTTAGCTTTCATTATGTATCATCATGGTTAATAGGCCAAAAGCCATGTAAATACAGAACACCAATCATGTTGTCGGTCAAGTAATTTCCATTAATTTCTGCGAGGATAATGTTGAGCAAGGATTATTTTGTGCTTGATCATGCCGCTGAACTCACAACTGTCTGCCTGCCCAACCTTCACGCATGCTTGTATTGCTAATCGGGCTAGTAATATCATGAACGTATCTGTATGTATGTACATAGTGGTATACTTTCTATATAGATACATTTATCGTGATATTACCTTTAAAAAATTGCCCGGATGTATTGTACCTTCCAGCAGTATCTCACGACTGTTCATCTCTCTCTCTTTGTTTTGCTTGGCAGCTGATGCTATGCAACCCTATCTGTCTTGTTGCCTACACGCTAGCCTCATGGCGATTCTTCAAGGAGCGCGTGATCGAGGAGGAGATCACACTACTCAACTTTTTCGGGGAGGACTACATTGACTATCAGAAAGCCGTGCCAACAGGGCTGCCGTTCATCAAAGGTTACCGGTGGGAGCTGTAGCAGAGAGACATGACCGAGGGTTACTGCTGGTAGCTGTAGCAGAGAGACATGACCGAGGGTTATAGGTGGGAGCTGTAGCAGAGAGACATGACCGAGGGTTATAGGTGGGAGCTGTAGCAGAGAGACATGACCGAGGGTTATAGGTGGGAGCTGTAGCAGAGAGACATGACCGAGGGTTATAGGTGGGAGCTGTAGGGGAAAGACGCTACGCTTGGCAGTGGTTAGACGTGACGAGGTTTCATGGAGATTCGGAGCTGGCCAGCTACTGACTCGTGTAGGGGGGTGTGGGAAAGCAGCTCTAGACATGTCGCATTTGTGCGTGCGTGGACCCTTGTAAATGTTCGTGCAATTGTTTTGTGATCGATTGATACGAGAGGGTCAACCAGTTTTCTACCGGGTGCGTCGAGGTAGAAACACATTTGTGTGATCATTAAAGATCGCGCATGATAGAGTTTCTGTTCTCCCCGCGTGTTGAAGTGTGGTTATCGCGGAAGGTACAGCGTACTGGAGTAAGTAGAGACACATGTACATTACCAAAATACTCTCACCTGCCTGAATGTGCAATCTGTTCAATAATGTTGCAAATCCAACGAAACTGATGCTCGCTGTGTGTAGGGCACGTGCTCTGTGAACCAGCATTTCTCAAAGGTGTTGTATGTTGTAAATTTGTGCTGTTCATAGTTTTTATCGTATATTTTTGTATGCTTGTCCTCCTTTGCGTTTAACCACAGTGTAAACCGTTGTTTAAATGACATTGTTACTGATACCTGGACCAGTGGTTCATGTTCAATGAAAGAAAGGAATATGCAAGTGCGGTTGTTACGGTTTGTGTTGGAATACGAAGGATTGCCAATAGCTGTGATGTTTAGCTAATAATTTTCGTGAGTGATATCTGTGACTAGAGGCCAAGCAATTTTAAAACTATTTATACTGAAAAAAGAACAATGTTCAACAGCCGTCATGAATTTACACATTCTAATTTCTCATATAATAAATGGATTGATTTTTCAGCTTGAATTAGTCACTTCTTGGCTTTGTTAAACCTCAATAAAACACTTTATTTATTAAGCAGAAAGCGTGTTGTTATACGTAATGCACTCGACTAGTTAATCGTGAAATAGCCTGTACGTTGATGTAAAAACTTCTAAACAAGTTGTGTTCGTCAAGGTATGACCTAATCAGCTTGGGCAAAGATTAAAATTCCTAGTCATTTGCAGTCTCCATAGCATTATAAACATGTGCTCCTAGCTGTACATGCAATACAGTTACTTCTTTTATTACAGTTACTGATTTTGGTCATCAGTTTTCATACATTGAAGACAACACCAAGAGAACTCTATAAACGTATTCGCATCTACACACATTTCGTCCACTGTTGCACACAATTGCTTTCACATTAGCTAGTAATTTCTGGTAATGCCTATTTTGTGGCAAGAGGATAGATCACTCGCCAATATTTGCAATGAGCATTCTGAGTAGGTCGACATAAATAGTAACTTTGCCACTAGGCGGCATATATAATGGCACTACCTAAAGTCTCGTCACAAACACAGAGTACTACATGTAGCAACTTCTGAAGTGCACACGTGATACTGTATATCATTCCGCCACAACGTTACAACTGAACGACTATATTTACTGTGCCGTCGCCCACGTAGTATTACCATGAACATAACTATACAATAAGATGTATAATGATATATGACGTATAGATATGTTCATGACATGAGAAATTATCGAAAAATTCACGAGAAGTTGAAAAAGTAACTAAATGTATGAAGATGTATGATCAAATGATGATTTTCCAAATTCAAGCACCTATGTTCAATCTTGGATTATACAATAATTAAATATTCCTTACTATTACTATTACAAAGTGATTACCACTACAGCAGCTTGCAACAACCTACGTATGTGGAGGCTTGCTGGCATTAAACAAACAAATCTTAAATATGTATCACTGCATATACTGATTCCATCTGAACTGCATTTTTACTATATGCAGTATTTAACATTTCTACTTTCTGTAATATATTATTAAACAAGGACAAACAGTGCTACACACATGGATACGCTAATGTTAATATTATACAAAGCTTTACAAATAAAAAATTCAATTTTATACAGCAGTGATCGGCTAGTAAGCTTTTAAATATAAGACGACATGCCTACATATACACACACAGATTCAATTCACAGTCGACAAGCTGCCGTACAACACAGGTATGTACAATCGGCTCTCACTCTTAAATCCCTTCACCCTCCCTTCTTTACCTTCCCTTCTCCCTTTCCAAATGAAAGCAGGAAAATACTCGCACGCTGGCTACTCACTGCTTTTACCCACATTTGACCCATCATATCATCTGGTCCCTCTGCACTATTCCAACACCGCTTTGCGGCAGCGAAACGCATGAGCTTGGACTTGGAAGTCTTGACGTGGACCCTTGTATATTGGTTCCTTGCTAAATGGTAAGAGCTTAATAACAATGCTTACTAGTACAGGCAGACACATATGGTCACAAACTGCGCATGGCAGACACAACGTACATGTGACCGTGTGGGGTTGCGAGATAACTTGTACACTTCCAGGTAACTAGCAGGCGATTTTTCGCACATTTCCAGAATTTTCTCGTAAAAAGATGAATGCCCGAGTACTGGTTCTACTGCTCTATTTCGCAGAGAGCAAACCTCTGCACGCATCAAACGCACAGTAGAAATGCAATTAAACACATCTCAGCTTGATGGCTAGACTTGTTCGCATAGGACACAGGTAGACTACTACAATATGCCAGTGGTTGCAACCTCCATGTCTCCATTGGATTTTAAGTGGCTTTCATTCAAAGACCAACAGCGCCCACCAAGTCCTAAATACTACGTTATATTACAAGTAAAACAGCATGAAGCTGTGGTTATGAGTCGCTAAAACATGCGCAGTTATCAGATTTCACATTGCATAGGTAACAACAATGGGACTACGCGTACCTTACCTTATAAGGAGCCCAGTTGGCAATCGCAGCTCCAGAGAAAATTAAGACCATTGCTGAATAATGCCAAACATTAAAATCTTTCCCACGTTCAACCTTCAACATCAGACTCTCCAGGCGAAATGCGCAAACGCGCGTGCCTCCACCGCACACATGCCCCCACCCCTTTCTTTGTGTTAGCTTACTCCACCACCTCCCATACCCTCCTTTACATCGGCTGATTCCTGCCACTCCCACCCCCTCCCTCACATAAGCTGAATCTTGCCCCTTACCGCACCCTACCTAAAGTTAGCAGGCACTGCAGCTGCTTCTCCTTCCCTTACGCTAACTGACACCTATCACCCTAATATCAGCTGTCTCCTGTACCCTCCAACCCCCTCCCTCATGTCAGCCATCTCCTGTACCCTCCCACCCCCTCCCTCATGTCAGCCGTCTCCTGTACCCTCCCACCCCCTCCCTCATGTCAGCCGTCTCCTGTACCCTCCCACCTCTTCCCTC